GTCCATGCGACTCCTGCTCTCAGAATATCTCAACCGCGGTAATGTTAGTAATCAAGCAAACCAGGGAAAGCGATGCAGCGAACCTCGACCATCGGCAGTAGTGAAAACTGTTAAAGTCCGGGCAAAATGTTCAATCCGGGCTCTGAGCTGATGGCGGGTAATCGAGCCGAAATTAGGCCGATCTCCCAATAGTCATGGGTTTCCGTCCCCTTTCATCGTTTTTAATCGTTCTTCGTTTTCCTCAATTCTATTATCTGAAATAGTAAATTAACCGTAAATTCCCCAAAATTAAATTCCGAGAGAGTTTGGATAAATGGCCGAATTCCTTTTGTCTTTTTACTCTTTTACCATTTTTAATCTTTTTCCATGTTTTTAATTTCATTGTCGATTACATAAAATAACAAGGGTTTTCCTCCTAGAATTAAATGCCGTGAAAAATAAAGAAATAAGGAATATTATRTTTTTCTCTTCYCCCTYACKGGTCTTAATCCCTCTTCCCCATCTTTAATTATGGTACTAAAATAGACAAAAATTTAAGGCCTCATCACAGCCCCGCTCGTATGCGGCAGAAACGTTGTGGCGAGGTCAGTTCCCCCGATGCCTCCCCGCGGCAGGCCATTTCGGGTCTAGCCCTCTTAAGGGCCAGAAATGACAGTCCCTAGACATGTCGAGTGCGGCCACCCATCTCGCCATCTTTGAGGATTACTCGCAAGGCTCAGTGCGCCCAAAATCAGGGATGCCCTGAGTTCCCCTAATTTTTGTTGCCTGGTCATACGAGAGTACCATCAATTCACGGACTTGTCCCGGAGCCTAAGTCCCAAAACTGCAGATTTCAGGCGGCGCACTGCTTGTGGCCGCCTGACACCGTGTCTTGAACACGGTTTTGTATCGATCTCTTGGATGGATCTCGAGCTAGTGGTAACCGGCCTTGAAGTCCAACTTGGAGAAATACTTGGCGCTGCCCAAGCGTTTGAGAAGATCATCGATGTGTGGAAGCGGGCCGACATTCTTAATTGTTTGAGCATTAAGCTTACGATAGTCAATGCATAAGTGCAGCTCCTTGTTCTTCTTCCGAACGAAGAGAACGGGTGCACCGTAGGGCAAGCAACTAGGGCGAATCCAGCCCTTGTCAATGAGGTCATCGTTCGAAGCACTTCGAGTTCCTCCTCGCTCATGCGGTAAATACATCCATGCGGAGGTACGGCCCCGTCTTCATGGATGATCCTGTGACAAATTGGCCGATTGGGTATGATTCCGGGGGGGCTTCAAAGACGTCGTCATAGGAGTCAAGAAGTTGTAGAATGCGTGGATCCGGTGGCTGTTCTGCCGCTGTCTCGTCGGGAGGAGGGAGGGCGTGCAAGAAACAAATGCCCATTTCCTCCACGTCATTCTGTGCAATGGAGTTGCGAATGCTTGCCGCGGAGACCACGTGACAACCAATTGAAGAGATTCGAAGGGTGAGGTGGGGGGACCGTACATGGCACAAGTACCCCATTCCGGTCACGAACGTGAACGGTGCGGTGGTAGAAGTTCACCGGGTGGTCCTCGTTGCACAGTCACAACATGCCCAAAATCATGTCGAACAATGTGTCCAATATGTCAAAGGATATGGCCTCGCGTGCATGTAGGGTGAAGTATATGGGGACGGAGTCAACGCACCGGTCAATGGACTTGTGCGTACAATCGTCGGCCAACGTGACTTGTGTGGGCTGCGATTTCTTTCTAACGCGCAGCCTAAGGTCGGCACGCGTCATGAAGTCCTGGCTGATGTAGTTGCGAGTAGCTCCACATTCAATCAAGGCACTGCAGGTCGCCTTCCCGATCTGAATGCGGACGTAGAGTAACGGTGCGTCAATGTTATCCTACCGTTGCATGGCGTACTCACGGTCAATCTTCGCAATGTACTCGCGAAGGTGAACAACCGCTACTCCGTCTTCCATCAACGGAGCTGGTACTGCAGCGTGCAAGTAGCTGCGTAGTTCAGCCATTAGGGCGTTGCAATGCGGCTTCGGCAAGGAACCAGATGGGGGAAGAGGCAGCCATTGGAAGTCCTTCGGTGTCAATGGGTCAAGGTCCTCAAGTCTAGACCACACCGACAAGTCCCCGAGTAATGTCGGCGAGGATTCTGGTTCACTTGGCGATGGTGCTGAAGTCGCGCATGCATATGACTCTTGCACGTGGAGAGGTTGGTCCAACGGCGGGACCAGTTGGACAGCATAGTCTTCATAACCTTCGTGAAGATTGGCGACATACGCATGTTCCCCGGACGTGGAGGAGGTTGTTAGTAAGGCAACCTTGTCTGGTGGAGGAGGAAGTGGAGTCGCCTCACTTCCCGCGGAGCTCAGTTTCCCGAGCTTTGTCGTGGACGGACGTCTTCTTTACCTTTATCGGGGCATTGCAACGTCGTGTGCTAGGTGTTGTTGCACCAGTAGCAATAGTTCCTCCTCCGGCGGAGCTTGTATTGCTCCTCCGTGAGGCTGAACTTTTTCCATGGCTCGTTCGACTGTCCGGCATCCGTTGCTGACGCAGATTTCGCCTTTTTCTTCTTGTTGCTGCGTCGTGGCGGAAGGTCGTTGACTCCGTCACCTTCACTAGACTAGTGAGTCAGCGCCTAGTCGTCCTCTTGTCCATTGCATTGGAGAGCAGCGACTTGCTGGGGTCGTGGGCCTTTGCCTTTTTCCACAAAATCTGATTGGTTTCGCCGCTCGTTGGCGGCCCACCAATTTGTTTGGATTACTTTGCGGCGCCTTATCCACGATCTGGTCAAAGTCCGTTTACAGGCCGCGCTCCCCAAGGGCCGTGCTCAACGCGTCAACCGACCGCTGGAAGAATTTGCGACGAAGATGTATGAACGCATTGAATGGTATGTCCAGATTCGAAATCGTCACGAGTTTCTGCCATTCGGTTAGCCATTCACGTGTTGGCTGGCTGCCTTGGTGCATGCTGAAAATCCGGTTCACGCCTTTGCCTTGAGCGTCATCGACGATGAAGCGTTTCCACCACTTCTCGGTCATGGCCTCCCAAGTGATCTTGGTGTAAAGCTTAGCAATATCAACGCCTTCGGTTTGAGCCAGGTGGTTGAGTCACACTTGGCTGGCACTGGTGCTGCAAAGGTAAAGCGCTGAGATCTTTGACTCTGGCGGGACCAAGTGGATGGAGAGCTCGTTGGTGAACCCTTGCCACCAACTTATGGGGTCCGCCTTGTGGTAGTCGTCAAATTTGTCGATGCTGAACTTCGGCATCTTGAATTGTTTAGACGTCAGGCTGTTGCAGGTCCCGGTTGGTTGCTGCAGCAGCTGACGCAGATCCGCTTGTAGGGCGGCTATTTGCTGGCTGATGGTTGCCGGTTGTCGGAAACTGTTTAAATTTTCGGCGAGCGCTACTAGTTGATCCATTCGTTCTTCCAGCTCACGGATCGATGGATCAATGCTTGATGATGCCGTGTGCCTGTGTGGCACGTCATCCTTCTCCAACACGTCAAGGCGGGCATGGAGGCTCTTGAGAGTCTCCTCATACTCAGCAATGGTATGTGCCTGCCGAGCCAGCTCCACTTGTTGCCAATTACAAGTGAGGATGACTTGGTGCATCATGTTGGCGAGGGCTGACTTGGTCTGCTCCTCCGCAGTTGGTTCCGTTGTCTCTGCCGGATCAACATTGCATGCTTGGAGTGCGGCGGTATGAGCGGCTTCCTGCTGCATGAGGACAGATGCGGCATCTCTTCGAGCTTTGTTATGGTTGGCAGCTGCTTCAGCGTGCTGCCGGCTCCGTTGCTTCGTGTCGCGTGCAAAGGCATTGAGGCGCGCCGTGTCGGCTGCCGCCTCGTGTTGCTGTTCCTCTCGTACTTGTTGCATGTAGGTGCCCAGGCGGGCCAGAAAGGCTATCATGGTCTCTCCTTGCTGCCAGACTGGCGCAGCATCGAGGGCTCCTGCAGGTGTTGCAGTGGAACCCACCTGCTGGACCTGTGGGACCAGGGGGTTCGAGCTGCACGCCTCGCGTGGACTGCCGGATGCGGCATTGTCCAGGGCGTCCATTGCAGAGGGGTGGGGCAGGGGTAGCTGCTGTTCCGCTGCGGCTGCCCGCCCTTCACGTGCAGCGATGTGTTTGCTGCGTCCGAGCATAAGTTGCAGTTCGCTGTACGGTGTCCGCTGACGAGGTACTGCTGATGTGGCCCTGTTGCTGGCGTGGCACTGCTGCTGGCGTGGCACTGCTGCTGTCATGGCAATGCTGACGTGGCACTGCTGCTGTCGTCAGTGTCGTGGCTCTGCTGACGTGGCACTTACCAAAAACGGGAATGCAGGCAAAAGGGTTGGGTGGGAGGGAAAACGCAGGAAGGTAACCAACCAAAGTGTACTTTCCTCCCGGTCCTAATCAACAGAATAAAAATAAAAAATAAAAAAAGAGAATCACCCTCCCTTTTTTTTTTTTTTTTTTTATATCTATCGATCTGCTATCAGTGAGGCATTTTACGGAGGAGTGCTAAGAGTAAGATCTAGGCAAGGCTTCGCAAAATTTCGGCTTTCAAAAAAAAACATTTTGCAATTTTGAAAAAAATCGTGCGAAAATAGGATAGAGATTCGATTTCGAGAAAAGAATAAATTCGGTTTCCGAGAATATGACAACCTCCTATTATGCCTAGAAAAACGAGATGCTAACATCAGAAATTTTCGGCTATAAATACTAATATCAGAAATTTTCGGATGCTAATATCAGAGAAACGAAATGCTACTATCAGAAATTTTCAGATATTTGTTGCGTGAAAACGAAATGCTAATATCAGATATATGCGAGAAAAAAAAATAAAAAATTGCAGAGATTTGACAAAGTCCTACTTGATTTACTAATAAACAATCTATCAATCAATCAATTAATCAATCATTCAACAATCAGTAGATCAAGCAAGCTGGCTACTTGATTGGGTGGATCCTCTGATTAAGAGGTCCGCTCCGATACCAAACTGTCGCATACCGGTACAGACCAGAACAAGAACCGACCTCTCTCACAAAGTACAAGATAACACAGCGGAAGGCTTAAATATCAATGATCCGAACAATCAATGTTTCCATGCAGACCAAACATACATCATCATCATTTCATGGTGTGAAGGGGGCTGGCGCTCACACAGAAAGAATGTGCCAGCCCCCAACTATACACAGACAAAGAAGAGGGAGGTTAGACGAAGACGAGGGTCATCACGTTATCCAGAACCTGCCTGCCAGGTATGAAAACGGTTTGATCCGGATATACTAGTTTAGTAAGGAAGGGGTTAATACGGCGGGCCAACGTCTTGGCTAGGATTTTACCGTGAACATTTAGCAGGGAGATTGGTCTGTAGTTCCTAACATCAGCTTTGTTACCTTTTTTGTATAGGAGCATTATTATTCCTTCTGGTGCATGCGGGCCTAGAGGCTGTTTTGTAAGGATCTGATTGAAAACCCGAAGGATATCTGGTGCCAGCAGAGTCCAGAACTTGAGATAGAACTCTACCGGCAGGCCATTTGGTCCAGGGCATTTGCCCTTAGCCATACTGCTCAGAGCCGCAGTAAGTTCAGTGAGTGTAATTTTTCCTTCCAACGACGCAGTCTCCGAGTCCGAGAGGATACGTGCGGTTGCGTCCCACAGGGCGTGTTCCAGGTGTGGTGGGATGATGGGGGAGTGAGGGGCTTTTTCGGAAGTGAGAAGTTGTTCGTAGAAGAGTCTGACGTACTCACACAAAGACGCCGAATCTCTTGCTGGTGGTTTGGAAGGATCCTCGGGGTGGTCTAGGAGACTGATGAGGGTAGACTCACGAGTGCGGTTGATTGCTGTTGCAGATTTATTGGTTAGCGTGTCCGTATGCTGAATTCTGTCTACTTGTTTGTGTCTTTCCCATAGGTTGTGATGTCTGATCTGTGTGTTTTCCCATTCCTACATTAGTCTGGCTCTTCTACGTTGGGCCACTATCCTAGAGAAGAAGGAATCCGAAGATTTTTTCTCAAAGGCGTCGATTTTCATTTTCAATTGAATTTCTTCGTACTTCCTGCTTACTGCCTTGGCCCTGGATATGAGATTGAGCTGATTGGAGATGAGGGTCAATCCTTTGTCCAGCCAGAGTCCGTCGTTCTCAAATATTGCAGTGTTGTTTCTCCATTCCTCCCATGTCTTCCAGACCCATTCGACCACTCCGGGGTCATCCAAAACGTGCATGCTCAATCGAAATAGTCCCCTGCCCCTAGAGGCTTGGAGACCCAGATTGATCTGAAGTGTGATTGGCTTGTGGTCTGACATTGGTTCAATGGCAATGGTCGCCTGGTTGGTCAGTTGTAGTACAGTGTCGTTGGTGAGGATGATATCCAACCTTCTCCACGTGAGGATCCCATCGTCTGTGATGTTGGAGGAGATCCATGTGAGTTCAGAATCCTCTGGGTGGAGTACGCGGTAGGGGTCAAAGAGACTGTTGTCTATCATGAAATCGTTTAACGCTGCAGACTCGCCTGGGTGAGATAAGGGGGTAGTGGAGTCGAGGCCGGGGTTGGGGACTGTGTTCCAATCCCCGCCGATGGCCAAAAATTGTGTGGCTAGTATAATATCTGAGAGTACTGAGAGAAAAGGACCTTTTAGGCCGTGGATCGCCGGGACATATACGGACATGAAGCACCAAGTTTGATTGTTAATCTCGAATGTAACCCAGCACCAGTGGCCAAGGGGGTCGAACCGAGAGTCCTTGATTAGCGCAGTCAGTCTTTTATGGATCAGGATTCCGGTGCGTCCTCTGGTGTCTTGGGCAGGAGACCAGATCTGTGGGCCACTCCACCATTTGGGCATAAAGGAGAGTTTTTCATCGGAGAGTTTGGTCTCCTGGAGCATGACAATTGCTATCCTTTGTGAGTGGACCCATGATTTAAGGCGGGCCCGCTTAAACTTCTTGTTGTTGTCGACTAAGCCTCTGACGTTCCATGAGGCAATAACGAGTCTATCGTCCATTGGCAGCGTTTGGCTGCTGCCCGTGACGGATTGGCGCAGGGGACGATCCGCTTGGGCCGGATGTGGCCATCATGCTCGGCACATCCCATTGGATCTTCATCGATTCCAGGATGTACCTGGAAAAGATGGACCGTTCCTTTGGGATGTGATCATCCAGATCTGCAATTATGTCTCATGTGATCTCATCGCCGAGCGATGGGAAAAATCGTTCCTTTGTATTGGTTCGCTTGAACTAGGCTGTTGGGGCCTAGAGCAGGCCCTTATCCACCATTGCTGGGTCTGTTCCGGGAGCCTGGGCTGCTCCAGGTACATGCTAAGAATTCGATGGTTCTTACCTGTGTGCCCTTTCCTGTACACTGACGAGCAGGGCATGGCCGGGATTGGGCGCACAAAATATTTTATGTCCAGCGCTCTCCGTGCAGAGAAAAGGAAGTCGTTTGGGTGAGGGAAAGTGCTAGAAGTCAGAGATGGGAGGAACAACTCAGTCTTGTCATTTTGGTGAAGAAGTACAAGTGTTCCTTGGTTGCATTGTTTGAAGACGAGGGGAGCCAACACGTAGGGCGTGTCTTGCTGGGCCGTCGGGGATACCGGGCCCAGCAGGACTGGGGATTGCAGGGTTGGGGCATCTGTTCTTTCTATGTGGTGCCCAAGATCCCTGCCTGTGCCTGTGCCTGTGCCTGGGTGGGTACTGGGGTAGTATCCATCACGCTTGAGGAGCCTGGTTGTTTGTTTCCTGGGACCGACACCTTCGATGTGTTTGGCTGTGATGAAGAGGCCGTTGTTGGTAGGACTGTGTTCGAGCCTGTGGCTGAGCATGAGAACCCTGCAGCGAAACATGCGCCACCCTGTCTTGTTGGGTCTGACGCTGAGCCACCGAGAGGGGAGGGTCCCATCGGGTGCCATGCCCACTTGTCTGCTGCAGGTGATGCTGCATTCCCGCTGCCATGCTGTCTGGTGGCGCCCCAGCCCTGATGGGTTGGTTGGGGGCCCTTCTGCTGTTGGAGCAGGGTGTTGCCCTGGTCCCATTGGGGTTGTCTCTTCTTGCGGGCTGTGCGGTGTGTGATCTGATCCCTGAGGTGTAATCCTCCCATGCGTGCTTCCTATCTGTGAATCCTGCTTGGACTGACTGCAACAGAGTTGCCTGAGATGAGTGTGACTCCTTGGGGGTCTTCTTCTATCTGTTCCACTCGTCCGCTCTGCAATCTTCTGTTGTGTGTCCGTTTTTGTAGCAGTTTTCACAGAAAGGGCAGTCATCCGGCTGGTGTCCATAGCGGTTGCATTGTGAGCAGCAGGGGGTATTGGAATTGACCAGATCTGCCACCAGGTAATCCGAACATGTCCACACTTTGAGGCGCGATCTGAACCTTTCCTCTGCATTGGGATGAAGGTGGTGTTTTAGATTCCCCAATTTAGGATCGTCCAAATCACTGATGGGAGGGAATTCTTGGAGCACCTTGCCCATTGCTGCTTCAAGGCCAGTTTTGATAAACATTGAAGCAGCGATGGGGAAGTGCATAGCCATCACCCAGTAATCTTTCCTTTTATCCTCTTCCCTTTTCTTCTCCCATTCCGACCGCGGAAGCCAGGGGCGAAAAAGGACAAGATGTCATTTGTTTCCTTCTTTAAACTTCATTTCCTTTTTCATTTGGATGAGTCATTCCACCACTTTCAGACTCTTAGCAATATATGTCATATGGCCTCTCCCTTCCATGTGAGTACTGTCTTTCTGTGTTGTCAGTTCCTCCTCTGTTAGGACTGATTCTTCCAAGTACCTGATCAAGTCGACCTTTTTATCATTTGACCAGTTTTTGGTTTCACCTTGAAAGATGATTGCAACTGTCATTTATTTCAGGAAGTCGTTTTGGACTTTCTGAAACTTCTCGGTAGGGCGGATTTCGATGCAATCCTCCTCCTCACAGACGTTGGTTTCCACGTAGGCTGAGACGTCCTGGGAGATGTGATCAATGAACCATCCCTTCATCATGTCGTTTAGCTTCTGAAGTTCGGCTTTTTCTCTGTCTATTTCAGTAACAGACTCACCAGCGGGCACTTGGTGTTCCGCTTCCATTGTGGGACTGAGAGGGGGAGTTATCCTCTGGTGCAGCGGCCGATATGATGGAGATAGGGAGGGTTAGCAGAGAGATTGGACTACCCGATGCAACTTGACAGGAGCGGACTGCTTGGTAGGGGTGGCTGTGGGTGTGGGATAATGGCGGGTAAAAAGGAGAGGTGGATTGACGGACGGGGGCAACGTCAGGAGATAGACGGAATGCGTGGTAGGGGGGGAAGGATGGGA